CAGCATGGAATATTCAGGTGCTCCTCCACTAATGGGCATTACCATGGTGACACGTGCGACCTTCTCTGTGATGCAGGCTACAGGCCAAGTAGTTCCTTCCAAGTCATCAACTGCCGGTCCGACAACACGTGGTCCCACTCAGCGACATGTGTCGGTATCTGTCACTATCTGTACAGTCACAGACGTCTTGAAACTGCATACGTTTCTTATTATAATTTTATGATCAAGTCCATAAATTACTGGATGCAATGATTCGATCCAACAGAATTCTTAGCGTCAATGAGAGCAGATTTAATTGTTCCTCTGAAACGGCGGTATCGTCATTGGTGGCGTAAAATGAAGCTGAGTGAAACAGCTCCCAACATGACACGCCCAACAGCTCTGCAGCACCAGCTCATCAATATTTCCAAATTATCTATTTTAGTGTCGTAGGATTAGATTAACACACGCATATTTTGCGTATGTCTTTTTCTTAAACACCAAACGTTGAAAATAATTAAGGTATAAAAATTAAGATCACCGGATTCTTTCTCATTACAAGGCTGAGGTATAGGTACAGAGTGTCACATTGAGTTATACTTCGGTTGATGTGGTTTCGGAGGACATTTCGGGAACACTTGGTGTCATCACTAATGTTCAGCGATCTCCTCGTATAATTGTCACCACGCCCAGAGGACTGTTTACTTCCAGGCATGGAAGTTATATATAATGCTTTTTTGTCGCTTGTCACTGATTGCTTTTTTTATTTTATTTTTTTATAGATGTAAAGCAACATTCACAATGTAGCATATGTTATAATTGGACTATAATCTTATTCTATGAACTCACTGATACCATATCTGATCTCATAGGCCTACTGGCCGGGTGGTATACATTTTAATCTGTCCTGTCTGTATGCCCATATGTTTGTATACTGCGTGACACGTAAATAAAATATTTTCTCCCTTCCTTCATTACTAACTTACTAACTTACTTGTCATGTTTATCATGCTTACTCTGAATTGCATGAACTAACAACAGCAAATTGAAATACAATTCTTTTCCATTATGAGCTATTCCTTGCTGACAATTACTACACAATTTCTCAGTAAAGTAAAGAATCAGTTTATTCAAAGTGACTAAACCATATATGTATTTATCCTATATAGAAATAACCTGTCCCTCACCTCTACCAGTGACCCATGGGTCTCTGAACTGTTCGCCAATGACAACTCACAAGGAGGGTGACACCTGTCGACTGACCTGTGATGATGATTATCAACCAAGTGTACACACAGTCACCTGTCTGGCTGATGCCACGTGGTCGAACACGGCCTCGTGTAACGGTAAATGTGATGGTTTTCATCAGACTGGTCGCAAACTGAACCTGCGATTTTGAACATTCCTGTAGATTTGGCAATGCCATCCTTGTGAATTAATTTTATCTGTTGGTGTTAGTGCATATACAATTACAGTAAAGGTTCGATGATGATGTACATGACATATGATCTATTTATTGAACAGAAATATTGTGTCCCCCTCCACCTGTGACACCGCACGGATCCTTCAACTGCTCACCCCCCGTTGCCCACAAACTGGGGGACACCTGCACCTTGTCATGTCGGGCTGGATACAGACCACTCGTCCACGCCATCTCCTGTCTCCCTGACTCTACGTGGTCTGACTCCACTCTCTGTGTAGGTAGGTACAACGTGGTCTGACTACACCTTCTGTGCAGGTAGGTACAACGTGGTCTGACTACACCTTCTGTGTGGGTAGGTACCACGTGGTCTGACTACACCTTCTGTGTGGGTAGGTACAACGTGGTCTGACTACACCTTCTGTGTGGGTAGGTACCACGTGGTCTGACTACACCTTCTGTGCAGATAGGTACCACGTGGTCTGACTCCACCTTCTGTGAGGGTAGGTACAACGTGGTCTAACTCCACCTTCTGTGAGGGTAGGTACAACGTGGTCTGACTACACCTTCTGTGCAGGTAGGTACAACGTGGTCTGACTACACCTTCTGTGCAGGTAGGTACAACGTGGTCTGATTACACCTTCTGTGCAGGTAGGTACAACGTGGTCTGATTACACCTTCTGTGCAGGTAGGTACAACGTGGTCTGACTACACCTTCTGTGTGGGCAGGTACAACGTGGTCTGACTACACCTTCTGTACAGGTAGGTACAACGTGGTCTGACTACACCTTCTGTACAGGTAGGTACAACGTGGTCTGATTACACCTTCTGTGCAGGTAGGTACAACGTGGTCTGATTACACCTTCTGTACAGGTAGGTACAACGTGGTCTGATTACACCTTCTGTGCAGGTAGGTACAACGTGGTCTGACTACACCGTCTGTGTGGGTAGGTAAAACGTGGTCTGACTACACCTTCTGTGCAGGTAGGTACAACGTGGTCTGACTCCACTCTCTGTTCAGGTAGGTACAACGTGGTCTGACTACACATTCTGTGCAGGTAGGTACAACGTGGTCTGACTACACCTTCTGTACAGGTAGGTACAACGTGGTCTGACTACACCTTCTGTGCAGGTAGGTACAACGTGGTCTGACTCCAAAAGTAACACCAAGGGCAGTGTGTGATAACCTTTGGCATTAATATTGTAACTTTCTGTAACCCTCTGTGAGACGACAGGATATTAATTACCAAAACGCTGTTTAGGATTATCCGGTTTGAAACATGATGGGCTTGAAACGGAAAAGACTTTCCCCTCCAGTAAGCTACAGTCATTATGGAGTGGACCATCGATCTCTGTGCAGTAATATGATCCGACAGTACATCCGTGATACTGGTACTGGTTTCCACTTTCTCACTACATATACAATCTGAAATATACTCATGGAAATATAATATGGAAACAAATAAGTCAACACATGAAAGAACACGTGTTCCTTCATTTATTTCCAGAATTTCACCCACATTGCAATACATACCTTGTGAAGAAACCTGGAAAGTATAAAGGTACACTTGTACTTTCATGTGTTACCTGATTTGTTTCCATAAGTTTATAATATAGTTCTACTTGGTGGATTAAATGAACTTATTTCAATCCTGTGCTGTGTACTTTGAACATTGGGCGCTTCGAGCATGCAATATACGTGGAGAAATGCGCATTACAAATGGACTATTACTATTACTGATATACATATTCATTTATCTCATGATTGAATATTTCAAAAACATATTCATTTGTCTGTAGTCCAAATATATTGTACCGGCATGTCTTCTCATTTTTATGATTGGCAATGATGGGTTTTACTACTGACCAAATCACATTCTGCTTCTGGTTGGCACTACCCCGCATGGCGTTGTTCGATTCCCCTTTAAGACATTCAAACCGATGTAACATTCATCAACTAACGCCTTGTTTCTGTGACACAGACGTCACGCCTCCTGTCATCCAGTGTCCGGTGGGTCGGACCATTGCACTCCTCCCTAATGAGACAGGGACAAATATCACGTGGCCAGGGGTAACAGCCACTGACTTTCCAAGTGGCGTCACCATTCCTGTGACCTTGACCTCTAGCATACGGCCCGGCAGCAATGTCACCGCTGGCGCCTACACAGTAACCTATGCTGCAGTAGATGAAGCCGGGAACAGAGCTAAACCTTGCTCATTCTTGGTGATCGTGTCCAGTGAGTAGCAAATATTTACAGTCAAGTGGTTTCAACATGTAAACGTCGATTGAACGTAAAAGGCAAAATAATGATGATATGTGTTCTGATCGGATCATTAAAAAACAGTGACGACACCAGGTACTTTCAAAGAAATAATGGATTTCAATTTAATTGTTCTTCCAAAGGGACATTTCGGTACAGATTCATTTAATCCCCGTCAGCAGCGTTATAGAACATGATCACAAAGTTTTGACATGGTTAAAAATTCTGTGTATACATATCAACAACAGATGTTATGTAGTTACTTAGCGTGTAATAAAGTAGTCAATGTGATTAAATGAAACATATATAAATAACAGACTGACGTCCTTAGACTGTCCCCTTATCTTGACCGCCTCAGTGGTGTAGTGGTTAGAGCGTCCGCCCGGAGAGCGGAAGGTCGCGGGTTCGATCGCCGACCGCGTCATACCAAAAGACGTTAAAATATGGTACTTGTTGGTCCCTGTCTGGCGCTCGGCATTAATGGGTACAACAAGGACTGGTCAGCTCGGAGTCAGTATAATTTGTCTAAGTGGGGTATTCATGCTTCACTGCGGCATGGTATCTCAGTGGGCTAGCACTATAAAACCAGCTTAAGTCTGGGCTAGTACAAGCAGCCGCACATACACATACACACGCATGCACGTCGTCATATGAGCGAAATATTCTCAAGCACGACGTTAAACCCAATTTCACCTCACCTCACCTTATCTTGACTTACCTCTTTCAAGGATATAATTACTATACATCCATGGGCTTAGCCTTCAGTACAGCCTTGGAGCAAGGCTACAAAGTAGTGAATTGATTGAATACAGTCTGTTCTTGCAGTGTGCTGTTACGTGTTGTTACAGGACATTGTTACAATGTGATGAAACAGTTGTCACATTGTGTACTGGGCAGAGTTACACTGTACACTGTATGTTGTTAAATAATGACGTTACGAGGTGTTGAAGCATGTTACTGTAGTCGTGTCATTATGAAGACACACTCGCTGACACGCAGATTAAACGCAATATATTTTACCGGGTTCTTGCGCTAAGGCTTCCTACTGTCGGTGACACAGAGATACCGTAGTTTGTGTCCCCAAAGAATACACTACAATAATACACTACTATAGACTTCAGCTATATATATATATATATATATACAGATTTAATGCTCATTACACCTGCCCTTGACCTTTCCAGGTACCTGCCCCCGGGGTTCCTTCCTGTCAGTGACACAGAGATACCGTAGTTTGTGTCCCCAAAGAATACACTACTATAGACGTCTACTATATATACAGTTACTATATATACATTTCTACAATGACTTGTTAGACACACACAACTGTAACTCTCTAACTTACGACTACTTAGAGAATAGTTGTATTTCATGTTATCTGTATATATTTATATATATTTAAAAATATTATATTTATGCAATGGTCAGTATCGATGACGTCAAATCCTCCAGTTCAAGTTATACGTTGCATGGGAGCGGCGTTAACATAAGCAGTAATGCTTGTTCACCAATCCCAATTCATCTTCATGAATAAAAATATGTTTAAATCATATGTACAGATTTGATGCTCATTACACCTGTCCTTGACCTTTCCAGGTACCTGCCCCCCGGGGTTCGTTCCTGTCGGTGACACAGAGACAGTGTAGTCCGTGTCCGGTGGGGACGTTTCAGCAACATGAAGACAGCCTGAGTTGCGTCCTTTGTCCCGACGGATTCTCCACCTCCTCCGAAGGGTCTTCCTCACCGTCCAGTTGTAAAGGTGACCGTTTCTCCACTCTGTCCTTTAACCATTTCACTCCCTAATAACTAGTCGTATGGAGACTACGATATCCGGATAAGAGACGCTAGTAATCGTCAATGGTCTTCAAGGCATACAATATTCTATCTTAGAAACACATGATGATTCAGAGAAATACGTTTCCATCACGTGCATCGTTCTTCTTTCAGGCACCTGTGGGGCAGGAAGTTATTCATCAGACGGCCTTGAACCCTGCTGGTTATGCCCCCTAGGGACATATCAAGGCATGTCGGGAAGTACACAGTGTGATCATTGTCCGCAAGGGCAGACAACTCATGAAGGCGCTAAAAATAAGCAAGACTGTAATCGATCTTTTACGTGACCTATCTTTTCATGCTATGCTGATGGCTCTGGATTAAACCAGTTTATCGGGATGGAATCAAGATGTTCTAACAATGTGGAAATGTATCTTGCTATCAGAACAATATATGCAGAATCACCTGGATAAGATGGTTTCGTCGAAATATATAGTAATAAAATATACAAACGATTAGTTGTTCTAACTTGTTTGAGTGGCATTTTAGAAGTTGGGACGTACAGTATTGAACAAACTATAGGATCAAATAAAGTTTGTTCAATATTGATTAGTTCCTCTGACTGCTAGCACAATGCAGATCATTTAAAGCATCGCATACAGATCAGTAATTACTATAATTGCATACAGTATTTAAAAATGGAAACGCAGAGATTAACGAATCGGTTAAATAAAGATCCAACTAATACCAATGAAATATAAATCATTTTAAAGAGCTGTGGGTTTACAATCAAACAAGCAAGATGAGGGTCAAATATATGGCAGCAATGAGTGCACTCACATTCTAAACCTTGCTGGTGACAAGTGCTAAGTAAACTTGAAACACTGAACAATATCACGCAGAATGAATGTTTTAATTTCAACATCAAAATCACAAAACAGGTATATTGCATTGCATTCTGAAAAAAAACCATTTTGATAGACTGTTATGAATTTTCCAAAACTTTGATTTTGGATCACCCCGGTTAACATCTCTGTCCATGAATGAGATGCCACACCTGTTTCTATCCGCACTTCTTCGTCTTTTCCTGACTATTCAATACTTGGCTGCTGGTAGTCCCCGTGCAAAATATAGGATAATTGATATTATTGACGTCATAGACCATGTGATAAAACCACATATGTTGACATGAAATATGATTAACAATCACATTGTTAATATCATATGTAATACCAGCAACGAGATTAAAAATACATTGTTTCAAGGTTATGGCAATATCATGCGGACATGCAAATAATGTTTAAAAAGGTGCCACGGCAGTATAGCTCACTTGGAAATAAGGATGCCCACAGAGAGAGCCGCTTAATAACAGTTTAAATCTATAACCGGAAAATAATAGAATTGTTTGATGATTATGAAATTACATATGACATTTGTATCTATCCGTCTACCCTCTAAACAAATTTAGGTACAAGGAAATGAGATATAATATTGACTACACGAAGAATACAGTATTCCATCATGCATATTCACGCTATGATGTACAAATTACAGATTGTAGCGAGAGATTCGGAAGACCAGCTGTCAGACATGCCAACATCCGGGCGCCAAACAACGATGCTTGTGTCCGTCGTCATGCAGTCCAAGAGGTTGCTAGGGTCATTGGTTTTTGTATGCCTCTTCCAGCAATATTCAATGGGTCACCAGGTAGGGGATCGAACCCAGCAAACACTATAAACACTGGTCTACATCCGGGCTCTTAAGTCTAGAAGAACATACTCTATGCCGCACCCATATCTGGAACAGATGGTAGATCTGCAGTCCGACGAGCGAACACTTTAACCACCTGTTCCATGGGGTCTTGCTGCTTCCGGGGTCTACGAGAACATTGCAATCGTCGTACAAACAGTGACGATGAGAAATATAATCGTCAGAGCGCGTTCGAGAACGATGGCCAGCTGTTTCCACTCATATGTAGCCTCGTCAAGACTGTCTTGTGTTGTGATCCTCCTCTTGTGTAGGTCCATGGCCTTCTCTACCGTGTGGAGCAGTCGGTTGAGAACATCCACCACGTTATTCCCTCCACCAGGTTGTCCCTCTGTCGGGGTGGGTGCTGGCTGGTATGCATTCATGGCCTGATGATTAGCAGGATTTGGTATCTGTGGGAAAACGTAGAGAGGGAAATTCTGAGCTTTAAAAGAGATTGGATAACACAAAATGTTATGAACAAAAGACATAAAAACATACTGCTAACTCTCTGTCCTGCAGGTAACACACTACCTCTTTACATATCCTTCTCTCCTCTTTCAAGGTGTTTGTGAGATATTCAATTTGGCCTTCGCTGAAATAAAAGTCTAGATTTCGCCAGGAGAAAACAAAACATGATGATCAAACATACCATTTCCAGCTTGGCAGACTCTGGCAGGTCTACTTTGACAAGGAGGATCTTCGCAAGAAAACCGAAACACAGTGTTTTGACAAGCCGTGGGGGTCTGTGTCCTCTCGCCCCTCGGTGATGGATATTCAGAGTGAACACGGCCAGACCAACACTCAGAGACACAATGACGATGTTGATTGTATAGTACACAACTGCGGAAGAAGAGAGCAGATTCTGTAGGGAGCATAAAGTTGTGCCGACAAATCTTGGACACGCTTTGTTCATGTGGTTTCAGAATTGATGATAACACGTGTAGATTTCGTGGAATAATCAGTGAAATAGTTTGTCATATAGATCACCGACAAAATATTTCCCATACAAAGATACATAACAACGTGCAGTATGAATATAGAATATGTGGTATAGGTGCATAGCTAATGGTTTCTCTACATACCTTAGTACCTTGTCCTAAGTTGGTCGTTATAACACAGCCTACCACGAGCTCGAGTAAACTAAACACGTCATTGTCATAAAACTGGGTTTACTAGTAACATACAAATAATAATTGATTCCCATTTGTGTTGGTGTATTGAATTGGCTGACTTGTCTAAGTATACACAGCAATAGGTCAATCATTGACCAGACACAAAATATATAGTTTGATTAAGTTAGTGAAACCGTAATGACCTCATCCATTTCCGGTAAAAGTTGATGCATAGATATTGATGTATGGTGTGAGAACATGAGAGAAAGATTATGTTGTCAGTAGTCGTAGGAAGACAGCTCCTATATTCTTAAGCCAACTGACCGCCGGACCTACTGGTACGTAAGTCAATGTGGAATTTATCGATTGAGAGAATCGAGGGGATTCAGTTGACATGTTCCTGGCAGTGTCCGGAAAGTTCACCTGTGTTTTATTGTTTCAAGCTGTTGTCGGCACAGTTCTAAACCGAGGTACAAATGGGAGTATGCACCTGTGATTTGGCAACACGTACAGAATGTTACTGACAATCAAACTGTTTACATTGTATTTTGATATTAATTTCCCAGAACATGTGTGTACCTTTTAGAACGTCAGTATATATCACGTCCACGTGTACAAACTGGAGTCTAAGCCAGACACACCAGCGGATACTACTATGGGCAGCGTCCCAAGCAGACATGGTAAGATGACAAGCAATGTACAATGTAACTCACTCACTCACTCACTCACTCACTCACTCACTCACTCACTCACTCACTCACTCACTCACTCACTCACTCACTCACTCACTCACTCACTCACTCACTCACTCACTCACTCACTCACTCACTCACTCACTCACTCACTCACTCACTCACTCACTCACTGTATTTAGAATTGTCAGGACATGTTGTCACCGTAAGATAACTCCAATACTACACAAATATACCGCTCACCCTGTAAGCCATATAAAGCAATATAAATTTAGACATACCAATAAGAGGGGTCACAATCGACGTCGGTGGCGTTGACTGTGAACTAACAAGCAGCAATACTATCATTGCCAGCAGAGACGTGATTCCAATCGTAATCTTCTCCCCTGATTCGTTGGGCACCAGGAGCCCCAGCAGAGCGACCAGCGTCACGACAAGACACGGCATCATGAGATTGACCAGGAAGAACAGGGGCGCCGTCTCAAAACGACGTCGAAGTTTAATGTGATGTAGGGCTCCGGGCAGCATGTATAGAATGTAGTGTCTCGGCTCTTCTCGTATGACAATAGGATCCATTCCATGTTTGATATATACTCATTTAAATCACCGGGTTCTCCTGCACCATTTGTGACATTAAGTTTATCGCCAGTGTAGGACCACGAATGGAAACTTATCCGACACATTTGTTGATCCATTGGAAAGTACGACAGGTCGACACGACATGACGTTTTTAAGATGGCTTGGTACACCAAGATGACTTCTCCACTTGAAAGTAGTATGGCGTTGTTCTGTCCGCCTGGTAAAAGTTGGTTGTTTAGTTCTACTCTGTACGGGAAATGAATACAATTTATGAGCACTGATGAAAATGTTGACATTTCAAACATACATTCAAATCTATGAACATACACTGCCATGTCGGGCACCTAATCGCTAACACACACAGTCAGCCATCTAATCCACTCAGCCACCGCGGCTTCCAGAAAATGAAAGTAGGAAATCGAGTAGTCTATTTTCAACCCAACAAAAGTACTAGAATTTGTATTTTGCCGAAAAAGTGTAATCCCAAAAATATGATGTGTTACATTCAAATCATTATACTTTCAAAATGATTCGTCGTCTGACAGAAACTTGAATTAGACGCGGTGCGAAGTTGTCAATGTATCTATTTCGATCGTAATTTTTATATAGATTTGAACCCTCTAAGTGTTTGTCTAATCAGCATGTGTTTGTCCTGTAGAGCTTTGTTATCCGTAGGTTTTTTTTGACGGCGGAAAATTACATATTTAAACCAGTCACGGAAGTAATCCTTCAGTTCATGTTTAGCTATCGGGTTTGGTTTTTACCATTTGAAACCACTAAATGACCAGTTACACATTAGTCTCCAACCTCATGGTAGCTTGACAAGTATCATAGCAACGGTCACGTGAATAACGTGTCCACTGATCCCTCACAATCTTTGCATCCTATTATCACTCTCCTACCCAGAGTTCCATGCGGCAAGCCAGCATAGTACCTCTGCCACAGGCTAGAAAAATGTGACGATTCGTCACATCTTGCAATGTCCATTCGATATAATGTACATATTTCTTAACTCTTTTATTTTTGACAAGTCTACACATCTAACTAAACATCTTTAATAGAATGGTTTAGTTTCACTGAGAAAATATCCAAAAATGTAACACTATTTCGATTTGCGTAGCGATCCTTTGTTTACATCGGTTGTACGGATCCACGTGCAGTCATCGAAGCCGACGGAGAGCAAACTATGCAGCCAGTTTGATATCTAAATATGTACTGTCATAGACCTAACTGTCGCAGTTGTGGAAGAATATATATGTAACAATGTAAAACATTATGAAGAGATCGCCGAAAAGCTTTCGTGAGTCCAGTTTCTTCTTATTATGAATATGCGCGTTTGATTACAAACAGGAGAAAAATCCGGTCACGTGATATGCAAATTAGCCTGTGGCAGTGATGTTATGTTAAGTCATCGCTGTGCCGGACCGTGTCCTATTATATAACCCAGTAGGGGCCATCTTATGAAGAGACAAACAATATTCCAGCACCAGCTTTCACTGGGTGGCTATGATGTCATATAGTATGGGGGAGACAAAGTTAATTCTTCACGGTAGGTCGAGTGAGTGAGTGAGTGAGTGAGTGAGTGAGCGAGTTTGGTTTCATGCCGCTTTTAGCAATATTCCAGCAATATCCTGTCGGGGACACCAGAAATGGGCTTCACACATTGTACCCATGTGGTTAATCGAACCCGGGTCTTCGCCGTTACGAGCGAACGCTTGAACCACTAGGCTACCCCACCTAACACAAGGTAGGTCGAGGCGTATAAGTAGCTTGGTGCTTATCATTACTTTACCATGTGTAACATCGATCGTTTTTAAAGTACTGTTATCTTACGATATCCCAGATTGTCTAGTTAAGAATAGGATAACCTAACATACATATCCAGCAGCAGTCAAGACAAGAGATCAACACTGGTACATCCAAACTTTCATGAGGCATCGGTGGTGTTATTTTATCGATGAGACATGTGAAATAAAAAACTACAGTTCTGGATTCATAAAGAACAAGCAAAGCCAGAGTTTAGATTGGCATTATACTACGTATAACATGTGCCTTTTGTACTGGACTGTACAATCGAAATAAAGATTGTTTCAAATTGCGTCACACGAATTTTGCTCAGACTTTGTCGCACATTGACGTCCTCAGTGAAATGTTCGAAACGTTGTAGGTACACATGTCGTGGACATTTCAAAACTGGTCGAATTAGTAACACCTGGTATCAACATTATCTGACATCGTTCTTCATAAACACATGTTCGTGATACAATTGGTCAATTAACTCAGCTCTTGGGGGAGATCTTGTGTGGGTATGGAAATGGTTTTGTCCTATTCATTACCGGGCGGTGGGGTACCCTAGCGGTGAAAGCGTTTGCTCGTAACGCCGAAGATCCGGGTTCGATTCCTCACATGAATATAATGTATGAAGCCCATTTCTGGCGACCCACCGCCGTGTTATTGCTGGAATATTGCTAAAAGAGGCGTAAAACCAAACTCACTCAGTCAATACTATTACCTAACACACAAACATAACTCTCCAACTTAAGCCAAGAAACTGTGTTTCCATAAATGTACACACATATGCAGTTTAAACAGAAACATTTTCTTATATAAGAGTACCACCAAGATGAACTACTTCCAGAATGCTTTCATCTTGATGCCAGCTAGGTCTGTCAGGGAGGTACTCACGTGTTTTTTAATGTCAGGTCAGGCGTCCATATCATGTCGGATGGGATCCGTAGGTCAGTCACGTCCCCAAAGTGTTCTGGTTGCCATGCCAACCTTGCATCCACCCATTTCTGGAAAAAGATACATGAACAATACCCTTAAACGTTTTACGTATTTTAGTGGAGATAATTGGGACAATGAGGGATGGGTGCACTCAGTAGTTCCCTCAGCAACAAAAGCAAACAAAAGAGACGGTCCTTCGTATCAACATATGTATTAACAGGTGAATGTATAAACGGGTGTATGTATTATCGCGTATGTGTATTATCGAGTGTATGTATTATCGGGTGTATGTATTATCGGGTGTATGTATAAACGGGTGTATGTATTATCGCGTATATGTATTATCGAGTGTATGTATTATCGAGTGTATGTATTAACAGGTGTATGTATATACGGGTGTATGTATTATCGCGTATATGTATTATCGGGTGTATGTATTATCGTCTGTGTGATTCAACGGGTGTATGTTTTAAAAGGTGCATGCATTATCCGGTGAATGTATGAATGGGTATATGTATTAACGGGGGTGTGTATTAAAGAGTTTATGAATTGACGGGTGAACATGTTAAGTATTGATGACGCGAAAGGATACGGTAATTGTGAGTTCAAATCCAGAACTACCCCTGATGATGATCCTTAATTTGACAGCCCATGCTCCTGACTCTTACGGAAGGTGGCACACTTGAACCACTGATTGCACTATGTATTGGACCTCGTCCTACACGATGCCTGCACGTTGTGATGTTTCTGGAACACTGTTCAAAACAGCGTAGAACCCAACTCACTCCTCTCTCACATTTACCAGTGTTATCCAGCTATGTGTCGTCATCACTTGCTTTGTCTCGTCCTGTAACAGAAAGAATGATTTAATCGGAAATATGCAAATCAGTTGGAGATAAGGAATGTTGAGTGCGGAGATTCCTTGGATGGGTAACCGTGTTTTGGCAGTTTTGACTCCTGAGAGTTTCAAGGACTTCTGTCCTGCCCAACAACGAAGCACATGTGATACATGTAGTCTCACTAAGGCAAGTGAGTGTGTTCAAAATGTCCTCTGTTCATCCAGCAGAAAATGGGTACCCGGTGGGATAAGTCATGTGACTATTAACCTTCTAGTGCCTCAGAGACAGGTTTGGTTATACGGGGTAATAATGTGTTCTGCGCTATAAGCACGCTGCCGGTGTGGATATAGCGCAATATAAATGGACCAATTATTACAAACCCAGCCATTTGGTACCTCGATTGCAAACGTCACGGCCTATGACGGGAGGTGAAAGTGCTCAGGATTGCATCTCGACACTATGGCGTTATACCACGTTGTTGTAAAGCTACTGCGTTTTAACTACAGTAATACATGGCGCACGTATAAAACTGTTGCGTGTTAGGTATTGGCTATATATGTGCTCCAGACTTACGATGTCCATTATCTCGATAAGAGTGAGATCCATCTTCACGTCCAGTGGGTAGTCATCATCGAAGGGTTCGATACGTTTGTCGTAGTTCTCAAACAGACCAGCAACCAGACGATGTTTGTCAACACTGCTTGCAGAGACTGAAAATTGGACAATATCTGGGGTAGACAGACGGGAGACAACATGACAATATCTGGGGTAGACATGAGACGGGAGACAACATGACAATATCTGGGGTAGACAGACGGGAGACAACAGGACAATATCTGGGGTAGACATGAGACGGGAGACATGACAATATCTCGGGTAGACAGACGGGAGACAACAGGACAATATCTGGGGTAGACAGATGGAATACAACAGGACAATATCTGGGGTAGACAAGAAACGGGAGACAACGGAAAAATATCCCTCTTGTCCACTCAGCATCATACAGTCACTTTCTGGATTCACCAAATCTGTCAGCGTCTTAGACCATTCAGCTTTCACTTTCCAATCTTACCTAACATCCCTCCAGCGAGGAGAAACAGCATCTTCAGGTCCATCCTTGGCCGCCCTACAACACAGACACAAACCTGTAGTCAAGTTGTCTAAATCACCCTGTCTTACAATACTAGCAATGCCACACAATGTTATAGGTAAGTAGATAAGGTTTTAGGGCGACTTTGGGCCTTAAAAGGCATATATGCGCAGGACACTTGACAAACTGTTACATACTCAGCAGGATATAAACGTCAGTACGAATTAAAAATTATATAGGCACTGTAATCAAATCATTACAGAAATTGACATAATAAGCGGATCAAAAACTTTTTTTGTGTACAATATCTTGACACATCAATGAATACCTTCGATGTGTGACCACATCAATGAATAACAATTTTAAGACACTACGTGAACGTTTGCAGTCCATTCAGACTCTTGACTCCAGTATCTAGTGTGGCCACCACGAGCGGCAATAACTGCAGCACAGCGTCTATGCATGGAGTGCACCAATCGATTGATGAAGGCCATTGGCACCTGGAACTACACTCTGAGAAAAGCCTGGCGCAATACATCGGCTGAGTTCGGCTCTGGTATGACTTATTCAGTCTCCTCTGAATTTCATCCAAAAGATGTTCAATTGGGTTTAAATCAGGACTAAGGGCTGGCCACTGCATAATGTTGACACCGTTCTGCTGTAGGAAATCCCATGTAGATCAGTAACGGCCCGGGCGTTATCATGCTGGAAAATGTTGTTCCGGTGACGTGCGAAATGTGGTATGACGTGGTGTCTAAGAGCTTGGTCGATGTAACGCACCGCTGTGATGCCGCCTCCTCTCCCTGAACCAAGGTTCTGGAACACCACAGGACCCACTCTCTGGTTCAGGCCTATTCCACCCCATACCATGATGCTTGCACCTCCCCATGAGTCTCTTTCCATAACACATTGGTCTGAGTAACGCTTGCCACGTCGTTGCCATATTCTTGTTCTGCCATCTGCAGTTGATACGCAGCTCCGACTCTCATCTGTTAACAGGACAGTTCTCCATTGCCTGTATCGCCAGTTTTGGTGTTGTAGGGCAAACTGTAGACGTTCACGCCGATGACGAGGGTTGAGGATAGGTCCACAATAAGGTCTACGGTAATGGAGGTTCCCACTGTTAAGACGTCGGCGTACTGCATCAGTACTGATTGGTCTTCCGTGTGTTCCCACTGTCTGGCGTGCTGTTTCGGATGCCTGCATGAAGGGATTCTGTACATGCTGTCGCACAACATGGCAGTCTTGTCGTCTTGTAGTAACCTTTGGTCTGCCAGTAAGGGGGCGATCATTTGTGGTGTTGGTGGCCCGGAAACGTTGCTGCAGCCTGTAGATGGTACGAACGTTGACCTGGAAGTGATTGGCAACGGCTTATGCAGTGTGGCCAGATTCAAGTCTTCCTAGCGCCTGGTTCTTCTGAGCTGTCGTGAGAAGGGGCATCCTGCTGACGTTGTAATGTGAATGTTTCAACCAGGTTTGGGGTGCATTTTATAGGGATGGTCCTTCTGAACAGCACATGCAGCATGAGTTGCATAAAAAACATGGAGAACACCGTACCATCTCCGAGGTCAGGTTACGGTTTTGAGACCATTTCCTGGGTTCAATTCTGAGTTTGGGAAGGAATGTCTTTGGTCAGGTCAAGTTGGAGATGTTGTCAAAAATATACAATCAAAACATTAAATGAGTTTACAGTTATACGTTTATGTGAAGGAAAATTCCAAACTGACGTTTCTTTTGCTGCTTAGTATATTTTTGTTCAGTTAAATAACTTACCCGTTTTAACGAGGAAGTCTAATACAGCTCTTTGTATGCAACCATACATTAAATTATCATTCATTGTAAAAGTATTTTTGGTTTTGTTAAACACAGTTTCTTTAAGAGCCTTACGTGGTTTAATCCACAATGTCCTAGTCTGAGGCGAGTTAAAATAACTTCATCTCTGCGACAAGGCCGACGAATTTTAAAATGTTTGTTTAATACAGGACAAGTAGAGTACATGTTTCTACCTGTAGTTGTTGTGGGGGGTGGGGGTTTGAGGCCCATATCCGCCATTTTGTTTTATGACGTCACATATGTGTGACCTTTGTGTGACCTAATCAACTGTTGAACCCTTAAGCCCCACCCTCCTTTGGGAGTCCCCTTCCGGCCCAGGTGTGTGTGTGACCTTCAGGTTGACCTCATGTAACAGGGGGGCAATGACCTTGTACCGAGCTGACCTTGGGATAAACAACTTTCCCAGAGGTAGTTTTAGACTCGTGTGTGGGCAATATAAGGCTCCCGAACAGTCCCCATGTCATTCAGACTTCAGTCGCCAGAGAGAACGTCTCTTCTCCGTGAAAAAACATTCGATGCTCTTGACTCTACTGGCTGTTTGCTGTTTATAGATAGAAAATGGACATGACTAGTATTAAAGAAAACAGAAAGGATTGAATTGACATCTTAGAGAAAAAACACAGAGAAGGGGAGCTGCTCTCCGACACTGCCTCGTGTATGCTGTTCATTGTCCATGTCTGGGGTGATGACTACGTTAGTTTGAAGTTAGAAGACCTTTACGATACACCTGACATGTGCAAGGTAAACATTTTAAGAAATTCATTGGTTTTAAAAATAGACCTTATTTCATCTTTTCGTTTGTATGTTTTATTTTTTACTCGTCAGGATCACAATTGCGAATATTGTTTTTGACGTCATTGTGGATTTTATGACACCATGGCCTATTGTTTGAGTCTATTTTTAGAAACGGCCCCTAGTAATAGGCTCTATTTAGATGATGACTATTTTTAGACTTCCCATAGCCTATATAGTAGACTATAAGTCAGGAGTGTAAAACCATTCTTGGTTTAGGCACTGTACTGTGTGGACGTGTTACCACAGCTCTCCAATCTGGAATATCATGGATGTGTGTGGACATTACCCAGTCGACAAGACTGTCGTTACCTATTGTTGTGCAATCAGTACTGAATTGACTTCATTCCAGAAAAGACTCGATTCGTTTAAGGACTGGCCAGTACAGATGGAACAGAGTCCTAGTCACATGGCCCAGGCAGGATTCCTGTACTTAATCAGAGCGGACGCTTGCAAGTGTTTTCAATGTAGTGTCATTCTCAAGAACTGGGAAGAAGTTGATGATCCCTGGGTCGAACATGAAAAGTGGTCTCCATACTGTCCGTATTTGACCCTGGTGGGAGTACCTCAGAAAGAGGTGGCCTGCTGGGGTAGTCATGTCGATTTGTCATGATGTAAAATACTGTATATTTGTGAATATTAGAAATAAAACAATGTTAAGAGTATATATATATGCATTGGCTGTCTATGTATAGTCTTTTGTCGATGTATAAATAGAGGTTTACTCGAATACTAATCTCATTGAGATCCCAACCGCGATAACAGCTTGTTTGCTAGAATTACTATGGCTAGGTACGTGTTGAAACATTACGAATTTTTAAGGTTCATGTTAATGTTTCAAGACGTTGAGTAAGATTCGACAAGACATCTTAGAAATGAACAGAGAACAGATTCTTGCCATCAATGGTATTATCAATAGGTTATTAAAGGGAAGATTACCAGTGACTCGATATGAAAGATGTCGTTCCTGGGGAAAAATGACAGAAATAACTATCTAGCTGTGTTGCGAAGATTAGTTCACCCTCTGTGGACGACAGACAGTATGTGGAAGAGTCTTTTTGCCAGTTACATGCCTATCGTAGCATTTGTTTTGAAACCATAGTTTGTCAATGCACTTAGAGATGAGGCCGAGAACGAAGACAACGAAGAAACTGTCATTATCTGCTTCTGTTCAACAACCCTATTGATCAACAACCCATCTTGACTTTGGCGAGGCAAATGTATCCAGGTAACACAGACCATTTCATGAAGCCATTTCAAAGGGCTACCCAGAAATCTTATGGATACTTGTTGGTTGATCTAAAACCCCAAACACCTCCCCATTTGCGACTTTGTCCCAATGCATTCAGTTTAAAAGGAGGCCTCCAAGCTAGGACAATTCAGTCCGAGTTAGACGTTCAGAGTGAGCAGACGTGTCAAGAAAACCTCCCAACAATGCCATCTTGTGATGACTGTGGACTCGTGTTTCAAGACGTGAATGATTTGCTAAAACACAGAAGAAACTGGTGTCCTGAAAAGTTTTCAGTGGGTCCACCTTGAATACCCCAAGTTAAAAGGAAGTGGGAAGAAGAAGACAACTTCTCTGCTGTGAAGGCACCACGTCCACTGTCAGATTGTGACTACTGTGGTCAAGTGTTTAGCAATAACCACAACTTACAAGACATTTACACGATAAACAATGTCCTGAAATGGAAAATGATGATGATGATGATGATGCTGTATCGTTAAGCGATGTCACACAAAACAACAGGAAAAATAAGATGGCTGATCTCGAAGAGCAAGGTATGAGACAAATGTATTCACGTACACGTGAGCTGAATAAAGACTTTTTGGATGAGAAACGACAGCTGTACATGAAAAGAGGTTTACACGAAGACATGATTCAAGCCAAACTGAGAAAATTAATCTGGAGCACGTTTAAAGAGATGTATGCCCGATGTATTACTCATCTGTATCATATGCATTTGGGTCCAAAGACACAAGGAATACAGAAAGGTGTAGGAGACACAAATATCATGACGTGTTTTCCAAACTGTACAAATTTAACTCTTGGGTAGAAGACTTCATTGATGATGATGATGAAGACATGACATCTGATATAGAGAGTGAAGGTTCTGGACAGGACGATGAGGAATGACAGTAAGACAATTAGCACAACATGTTAAGTAGACATTTGGGAGAGCTCCTATCCCAAAGCCTACTCATTTGAAACGGAGCTAATAAACAATGAAATCTGTGTATCTCTCTTGTTTCTTAATGCATTGTACCCTTGAAGGTCCGGGTTAGAATGAACCTTCAGTAATCCATGCTTGTCGTAAGAGGCGACCAATGGAATCAGGTGGTCAGGCTCGCTGGCATGGTTGACACATCTCATCATCATATCCTAATTGGGTAGATCGATGCTCATGCTGTTGATCACTGGATTGTCTGGTCCAGACTCGATTATTTACAGACCATATAGCTGGGATATTACTGAGTGCGGCGTTAAACTAAACTCACTCACTCACTTAATTGTAGTCGAACTAGATCTATGCAAGAACGAGTTTTCCTAAACCCACACTGCAGCCTCGTTAATAATTCATTTGATTCTAAGTAGAAACTCAAACGATTTGTGACCAACCTTTCCATGATTTTACACAGGTTAGACGTTAAGGCTATTGGTCTGTATGAAACAGGGCGAGATAGATCTTTACCAGGTTTGGGAACAGGGATAACAACAGCGTGTCTCCAGCTTCTGGGTAACTTCCCAGATATCCAGCTTTGATTTCTGATATTAAGTATGACTTCTAGAGCTGAATCTGGCATATGTTTAAAGTGTTCGTAACACAATTCATCGGCACCAGGAGATGTATTCTTGCCTTTTGATATTGCCGATTTTAATTCTCCCAGGTGGAAGGATAAATCATATTCAGGAAAAGGTTGTAATAAAGAATCTGAAATTATAGGAATAATCTCATTCTCCAAATTTGTGACTTCGTTTTTAAATTTTGTTGAAAAGTTTTCATAGCTGCTAACAGCCTCAAACTGATCTGCTAAAAGATTTGCTTTCTCTTCACGGGAAATAGCGCTTTGATGTAAAACAGGAATAGGGGATCTATTACGGTTCCCACTAATACTTTCTACTTTGGCCCAAACTGAAGACAAGGAAGTGTGCCTGTTTATTGTAGATATGTAAGAACGCCAACTGCTGCGTTTTAATGTTCGTACAAGACGTTGGAATTCAGCCCGTTTTTTTCGAAAGTCTTCTAAATCAACTGGTAAGGATGTCCTGCGAAGTCGGTTATAGGCCTTTTGTTGAGCTTTATCGGCTTTGTCACAACCCTTCTTCCACCAATACTGAGAATTTTGAGTAGTTGGCTTTCCGGAAGTTTTACCAATAGCTTTTTCTGAGATTTTAGTCAGAGATAAAGTTAGATTACAATATGAATTTTCATTGTCATCTGTAAGCAGATCACACGTTATTTCATTTGAACAAAGTTCAACAAATTTATGCCAATTTGCAGACTTAAATCTCCATCTAGAAATTCTATGTGCAGGTGTTCGACGAGGTTTAAACGATATTCCAGTGAAAACTGGAAAGTGATCACTCCCCAAACTGTCGTGTTGATACACATCCCATAGATATTTTGGGGATAAAATAGGCGAAACAAGAGTACGATCCAATGCTGAAAAAGGAAAGTTACCAGTATTTATACGGGTCATTGGGCCAGAGTTTAGCAATATTAAACCTGTGTCATCCAAAAGATTTTCTACAACTTGACCAGCATGATTTGTATGCCTGCACCCCCACAGTGCATTATGAGTATTAAAATCACCACATATCAAAACTGGTGTATCTACAGAATTTGTCAGCATTTTATAATCATCTAAAGATGGCGAACCATTACTGCATATATTAACAATGGTTAGGAATTATTTCTCGTCTGAGACAATTTCCACCGCATTTGCCTCAAAATTAAGTTTTGGCAACGTATGACTACTATATGTTAAATCCGATTTGACAAAAATAGCACAACCGCCACGTTTAGAATTTCTGGTCGTAGGGTCATATTCAATGCGATCTTTTCGCATGCTAACATAACCATTAATTTTAAACTGACACTCAGGCCAGAGAAATGTTTTTTGAATGCATATTACATCCGGTTAGAATTCTAGTTTTCCAAGAAACGCCTTAAGATGAGGACCGCGTGCAACTAAACTCTATGCATTCTAGAATAGTTAGCAGCAAGAGGGCGCTATCCATTATGATTTATCAGTGGAAAAAGAACGGAAGATATCTTGAGATATATGAATGTGGAGATGAGACTTTGCAGCGGACATAATACGGTTTGGAGCACCAAAACAGGCTGTGATAACCTCTAGTAAGAATGCAACAAGATTTTCAGTGGAATTATCAACTCGGGATGTGCTGCTTTCGCTTGATGGACGAGTAGACTGTGATTGATCCAGTGATCTATCATCATGGACAGAACACTGACATGAACATTGAGATGCTCTAATTGAACCATGAGTGACTTTGACTGAAGGTCGACTTATTGCAACTTGCTGAGAAGATGGAACAACTGTCTGTTTAGGACGGAGTTTGACAGCATTTGCAAAGGACATAGGCATAGGAGTGTTTTCTTTGACCATTTGTACGGCTTCTTTATAAGAAACTTTGTTTTCAACTTTTACACGTTGGATTTCAACCGCTTCATTTTATTTATTATAACCTCTATATGCTGCGCTGTGATTTCCTCCGCAATTGGAACATTTCAAGGTATCTTTAGAAGGGCAGGCATCATAAGCATGATCCCCATAGCAGCGAGCACAAACCTGAACTGTACTTTTACAATTGTGTGATCTATGACCGAAACGCTGGCATTTATAACACCTGAGGGCTGGTGGTACATACGTTCTTACCTTGAAAGACTGATAGTACATGTATACATGTTCAGGGAGTGTGGTACTTGCAGAGTTAACAGAACTGATAATGTCTGCTGGTTTCCCTTACCTCTGGTTAAACGTTTAGCATAAGTCACTTTGAAGGATTTCAACTGCTCAACTATTTCATCTTCAGAAATACCCAGATCTATATTGTACATAACACCTTTAGTTTCTCGCAAACTTTTGGGTACATAAGCTTTGATTTGTTTCCCACAAATTCGCGTCAATGAGAGAGCCGTTTTGGCCTGCTCAGCCGATTTGCAGTTTAAAACAATGTCACCTTTATCCAACCTCTTTAGGCTATGTATATCACCAATATGTTTTTGAATGTCCTTAGCTAGTGCAACGGGAGTGACGGATTTCAAACTGACACTAGGGTCTACCGAGGAAAAAATAACAATGGGCTTCAGATTTCTTTCTTTAAAATTTGTCTGAACATCGTCATCATGTTTTCGTTTTGGACGTTTAGCCAACATAGCATTATATTTCTCAGCAAATCGGCATGAGTAGAAGTTTCCTCAAAATCATCAGGATTCCCCGTCAGAATCTGAATTCATAGCCGTATCTGCGAAGCAAACGCTATCAGTGTTGTCGACAAGCGTAATCCGCGAAGCAAGTTCTGCACGGACAATACGTGCCAAGCGCACGCACAAAGCCGAGCGTGGTCAGCCAACCGAAACAGAGAACGTGCAAGGAAATTTCACGAGCACAAACTTACTAACGATAGGCAATTGCAAAATATAATTACTAAATTAATTACCAAAGCCAGTTTCACCAACTATGCTTATGGTATAATACACACAAAAAACCAACTAACCACTATAAATGTCAGCGAGAACAATCTACACAGGAACATTGACTCAGAGAGCGAGATACACAGGTCTGTCCTCGTCAGCAGACCAAGCAAGACTATCACACACAATGTTATAAGCTGATAACTTGGTTATGCCCCTGGATAGTTCCAGGATCTCATGTTCGTATATTTTTCAAGCTAGAATTAGAAGTAAATGTGATTATGATCCATGGTCTGTTATTGAAATACCCTTGCTGGTAGTTTTCCCACGACGTGTCTATCTGGCGCGTCCCCTTCACACGTTTCTCCCTGAGACCATACTGAGACATGATGGCTCCTCTAACCCATTGCAATTGAACTAAATATATTACGAGAACCCGTGAATGAACTCTACTAATTCAAAACAGGTGCATATTCTCACTACTTGGTTCTTACCACGTCTTGCACAATCCCCGGATAATATTTCTGAAAGAAACTTCCTCCACCGACGTAGACACGGGCTGTCTGTTTCGGCTAGGCGGGAAATGGAATGCCACTAAAGCATTATTCACCAACAGTCGTTAACACGGGATGAATTATATATGACATTTTGTAAAGTGGTTGTAATTGTGAAGAAAAGTAGCAAACGTGGCCATACAGGGGGTCTCCATGTTAAATCAACACCGATGTATTTTGCTATTGTAAGCTTATAACTACATAATAGTCATCTTAATATGCATTGCATAGTTTCAGAAGGCGATTAACATTCTGACTGCGAGTACAACACATGCCGACAGAGGTCAATGTAGCGTGTAGCTTTGATGATATTGGGTTAAAGCGAATACCTCATAACACGTTTCTTTCTAAACTGATAGATGGCAGAAAGTTCTACATGACTCGTATGATCAAGGCACAAATCCCAGCAGGCTTAGTTCATTAAATCGTCATAATGGCTATCTCCCAATTGACATACACCCATTTGACAGACAGTCGATTGACAGACACTGAACTGGAAGGTTAATTAGGGTAACACCTACGGGTATAATGGACTAGTCCACTGTCTGGTGAGTAGAGTAGGGTGAGCCTGAAACAGGTTCGTTACTGAGAAGTTTGATTGTGTGTAAATAGAACTTTGTTGTGATTAAATGATATCTGTCTTCTCTTCTCAAAACTGTTTTTACGATCAATTATTATCGAATATAAAAACAGGTTGTCACTGAGAGGTTTGATGGTGTTTATTGATTGAAACATATGTTATTCATTCGAGAAAAGGATTGGGCACAAGTTTTCCAACTTAGAAAAGCCCTCTCCCAATAACAGGATATGCACAACAGAAGTTAACTGGGAAAACGTTTTGTTTGAGAGGTATAGATATGTGCATATTTGAAAACATTCTGATTTTCAGAAATTGCGTTGTCTGCATTGCCATGTAGTATAAGAATAATACCAATCAGTGTTATAATTGTAACAATACTTTCTAAAGATTGTAACAGTTTATATCTTTGAATAGAAAACAATGGACATTCAAGGAAGTAATGAAAAACATTCTCACATCCATGGCCACGTTGTCATGATGCTTCATGTTTTATATTTATTCTAAATAAATCATAATTAAGTGCATATATTTTATCTCTTAATCTTGTGTGCAAAACATTTAACTTCCTTATTCCATATAAAAAAATATTTAGGTGTACATTTTTCTTTCATGTGGACACACGATTTAAATGATGCAACAAAGTTGCAATTCCTAACAGCTAAGGGAGTATTATTCCACATTTTAACTGCTAGTGGAATAAAAGATGATGCTGAGTACCTCAGTCTTGTACATGGTTCGCTAGACATTATTGGAGTTTCTTATCTCATAGCTTGTCTGGTTGCCTACTACAGGTGGGAGTAAATCCTGAAGAAAAACTTTAGAAGGAACTTTAATTTCTGAAATGCTCCAATCATTTTAGATGTTTTTTGACAATGTTTTCAATATGATGAGAAGGTTAAACCCAAATGTTTAAAAAAATCAACAGTGTTTATGATACAGCAATCAAAATTAATTAAATAATATAGCTCCAGTTTTTTTGCTGTGTTTTTATTTGGACTATCCCATTATAATCTGTAGGTAACAGGTAGTAACTAAGCTGTTCATTGATCTGTAAATGCTGTTGTTTAAGGTGTCTGCGAACTGCCTGTCTGCGTAATGGGAGGACACCGTCTTAATTGAATATGGTTCGACTGTTTGCTTTAGGTGACTTTGTGTCAATAATATCTAATTTTCCGTGTGGAAACTCTTTGTACAGCAGAGGATTTCGACGTAGGCACAAACATTTGTCAACATAAGATATCTGTTGGGGACAATTTTTCAGTTTCACCACGGTGTTGGAGACAATATTTTAGTTTCACCATGGTGCTGGAGACAATGTTTCCGTTTCACCATGGCGTTGGAGATAATGTTTCAGTTTCACCATGGTGTTGTGGGCAATGTTTCCGTTTCACTATGGTGATGGAGACAATGTTTCAGTTTCACCACGGAGTTGGAGACAATGTTTCAGTTACACCATGGTGCTGGGGACAATGTTTCCGTTTCACCATGGTGTTAGAGACAATGTTTCAGTTTCACTATGGTGTTGGAGACATTGTTTTAGTTTCACCTTGGTGCTGGGTACAATGTTTCAGTTTCACCACGGTGTTGGAGACAATGTTTCAGTTTCACCACGGTGTTGGAGACAATGTTTCCGTTTCACCATGGTGCTGGAGACAATGTTTCAGTTTCACCTTGTGGTGTTGTTTCACCACGGAGTTGGAGAGACAATGTTTCAGTTTCACCATGGTGTTGGAGACAATGTTTCAGTTTCACCATGGTGTTGGAGACAATGTTTCAGTTTCACCACGGTGTTGGAGACAATGTTTCAGTTTCACCACGGTGTTGGAGACAATGTTTCAGTTTCACCATGGTGCTGGGGACAATGTTTCCGTTTCACCATGGTGTTAGAGACAATGTTTCAGTTTCACCATGGTGTTGGAGACAATGTTTCCGTTTCACCTTGGTGTTGGGGACAATGTTTCAGTTTCACCATGGTGTTGGAGACATTGTTTTCAGTTTCACCATGGTGCTGGGGACAATGTTTCCGTTTCACCACGGTGTTGGAGACAAAGTTTCAGTTTCACCACGGTGTTGGAGACAATGTTTCCGTTTCACCATGGTGCTGGAGACAATGTTTCAGTTTCATCATGGTGTTTGAGACCATATTTCAGTTTCACCACGGTGTTAGAGACAAAGTTTCAGTTTCACTTCGGCTGTGTTGAAACGGAAACCGAATTAACACAGAAACTGTCTCAGTGCTTTGTTAGAGACAATGTGTCAGTTTCAGCATGCGTTTTTATACTTATTATACGCTTCATACAGGCCCTTATTGAAGTGATCTACAACATCAAAACCCACACTGATACACACAAAATATCGCGAGGACCTCATTTGTAAACGGATTATGATTTCATGACTAAGATAAGTTAACGTAAATTTATTCAAACGTTTTGCTCAATATAAGAAAGAATTCAAAACATCTCACACATGTAGGAACGGCAAAAGCGAATATGATATACCTTGTGTTTCATACCATTCAAAATTCCACAGTACAGTTCAAGTTTAATGGTACGACTATTTTCTTGAGCACGATTCACGTTCATACAGATACCATCCACTGTGTCAGTCGACCCGAGAGCACCTGTAGCATTGGTTATGTGACATTTAGGGCAAAGGTCACAATTTCTTTTTCACGGTGAGCTTTGGTACCAGTCGTTGGGACATGGAGGACACGGTTAAAGGCCGTCCGGTTAGTTCCGAGCTGACACGGAGCTGTAATAGCAGTGGTACGGAGTGAGGTGGGTTGTTTAGAAACAACCACAAAATAGATGTCCGATGCGATTCCCTATTTTGACTTTGGGTGAACATTTGAACATTTTCAAGTGTTTGTGACAGTGGTCATCCATACAGCAGCTGAATGTCAAGGTCACTTTCGCAAAGTTTCCTTTAGGAGGACCCCCTTTGAGCTAGGGTCACGCGACGTTGACATTTGTTTGGTTTAATTTGAGGAAATGCATCTGACTGGAAGGTCGGTTGGCTGTTTAACGCAGCACTCAGTAAATAATCGAGTCTGGACAAGACAATCCAGTGATCATCATCGTGAGCATCGATCTACACCTGATCGGATGGACAGTTGATGATCAGGATGTCAGGGAATAAAGCAACTGATGGTTATATAAAGTAACTATTCTGACATATTAGCTCATTTTCGAAAATCTAAAGACGCTTGATGACTGTATTGTCCTTCCAAAGTGTGTTGTCACAACTGTCACATACTAGAGTAAATACAAGCCCCAAATTAAAAGTTATTAAGCAATTAACTTATCCTTCCTGGCTTACAAAGATTCACACATGTTATCACTTTGAATTTCACGCTCACAATATCAAACACACTCTCTTTCCCCTAGTCTCCCGAGCGCGTATAACACACCAACCATTCATGTACACTCAAATAATCACTCAAAATATCAAAACATTACAAATGTCTTTATTTTAAAACAACACCAACACAACACTGTTCATATGATTCTAGCATGTACATCAGGTGGAATATTAAAAAGCAAATGCAAACAAAACACAAATTAATAAAATACTGGACACAATCACTGAAGATGTTATACTATGTACATGTGCAGTCAGTTCACATCTACTGTGGTAGTATCAGTGGCGGATCCAGGGGGGTGTGTCAGGGGGTTCGAACCCCCCTTTGAAAATGACTTAAGGCCACATTGAAAAAAAAATTTGCGTTGGCGGAGCTTCAAAATTCCTGGATCCGCCCATGGGTAGCATAGGAGACTTTCTACTGCATATAGATCTCTAAACATTGACACTTTACACGGTGAGCTTTACACAGTAGGCAGCATGTCGATAGGATCCCTGCCGATCAGTTGGGACAGCATTAGAGTAGGGACATTTCACTATCCCTAAACACTCAACTGTTGAAATCAGTCTAGACGTGTCCCATACTCTAGACTTGCATGGGCTTTCTTGGATATGTTTGTTTCAAGGTCTGTATGGCAGACTAATGCTACTCGTACTCAACAATGAGGTCGAATTCATTGAGGTATGTACATGTGAAGCACTGAAGATGACCCTGGTTACGTCAGACCCCTGGGCCAGCCAGTAGGCTGCTGATCATGAGACTGAGGTTTCCAAAAGATAATTTTGAGTGTCATTCTACCGATGCTATTTCTAATTCAGATAAACTGTAGCAGGACGTTTTCTTCAGATTGTGGGCTTATAGGTGAAAAAACACAACACAATAATATCCAGTAAAACGTAACATGCTTTACGGTATATTGTCATACATATTTTCTAGACATTGATGGATGTACCGTTAGCATAGCAACCAGAAAAATACGAGATTGTGGCAAACATACGGGTCCCATAGGATGGCAAATGGCAATCTGGCCTAAGAAAAATGATGACTTGATGTAAATGCCTCTTGTCAATAATGGAAGTATCTTAACAATAGTTCGTGTTTAATGTTAACTTACATCATTGGAAAAAATTCAAGCTTTACATCGTTGTCCCTACCCAAGAGGGCATGCCATTTTCCCTACTGCAAGGGATCAATGTTCGGGAAAGCTGGTTTCTGAGTTCCTCTTTCTAACTATCCTTTCGAATGAAATAAATATTGATAATATAATTCAATTGGTTATCCCATATGTTATGCTCTGGTAGTTTTTGTCGTTTATAACAGAATCCATTAACGATATTAGATCCCACGAAAAGACCTACTGTGACGGGTGTCAAATCCCCATTTTAATATAGATAAGATACCTGAGACTCGGACAATTGAGAATTCACAGTAAATATAAAACACCCATTGAAAGTGCTGACATTCTGTTTGACACTGACATGTATTGTTTATGAACAGCTCGGCGTTGTAAACTGTTGCAACCGATTGATGCTTCATAGGGAATAAAAATCCCCCAATATGACCTTTTTAGCCCTCGAAGTGTTGCCAGGTTCCTACGGCAAGTACAGTTGCTGTGCTTGAAAACTGTCAACATGTGATAAAGCATTTATATATAGCTATTGTCTGGTCGATGTTTGAAATTGTCGATGTGTCAACCTAACCCAGAGCACAGTATATCGCTTATGGGATCGGCACCGACTAAAGTTAAACCCAAGAACGAAGTGCTCGACCAAGAGTTACCATCTAAGCACTGCATCGCTGCATGCGGGTCTCTCCTCTTGTTATGTGGCAGTGTTATTCATTATGAAACAATGTTCTAAGCGTGGATAGTCAGTGAGAGGACGTAGCGAGCTATATCTAGACTTGTGCTATACGTAGACAGAGTTCTGGAAGATACTACACGGTACTACAACTCTATAGGCCTTTCCACTATATTCTGACTCAGCCAGATGGAGAATCTTTTGAAGTATTTTTCTTAGGTACATAAGGGTAGCCATTACCAGCATATTCAGCAGAGTACACTCGTACCCTAAATACCCAGCTTTGGCCTAATTATGGAAACTTCACAATTGCTGCTATGGGGTGAATCACTGCTTTGGTATTGTATTATAATGCCTTTGAAATTGTATTGGCACACTATTTTATAGTGCCACTGTAACACTTTTGAAGCGATTTGTATTAATTTGTAAGCTTAGCCAGTTTTAGAATTCAATTGCTAATTACATCCTTCAAGGCGCCCTGGTATGGGGAACTATGGTAGTTCCAGAGACAAACAGAGCGTGATGACTGTGGGAGCCAGGTCTGTGACCTGATGAACGAACACTTTAACCGCTGGCCTATCTCCAGGTTCTAGAGAGTAGAAGATCATAGCAGCTACAGTACTCATGTGTGGAATAAAAGCAAGGTCTGCAGTCTGATGCGTGAACACTATAACCATAAGGATTCCTCCTGGTTCTACAGAGATGATATTATAATACGATTATAGGAATTGATCTAATGTTTGACTAGCAAACACTTTAACCACAAGGCTAACTCCTGGTACTACCCTTATAAGACAGTAGCTAAGTGTACGATCTGCCTAACAAGCACTTTAACCACCAGGCTACCAGTGAGTCTATGAGAACATTACAAATGCGGCACAAACAGTGACAACGAGAAATATGATGGTCAGAACGCGTTCGAGAACGATAGCCAGTTGTTTCCACTCATATGTAGCCTCGTCAAGGCTGTCTTGTGATGTGATCCTCCTCTTGTGTAGATCCATGGCCTTCTCTACTGTGTGGAGCAGTCGGTTGAGAACATCCACCACGTTATTCCCTCCACCGGGCTGTCCCTCCGTCATGGTGGGTGCTGGTTTGTCTGCATCCATAGCCTCATCATGAGCAGGGATTAGGGTCTGTGTTTGAAAATCAAGCAATAAATTCCCAGAAACAAATAAATACTGGTCATGCTTAACAGTCCACATTTTCATCAATCGAAAGTGAACAATAGCTTAAATTATCAAGGAATAAACATCAAACATACCATGTTCTGGTTAGTACACTCTGGCAGGTCTATTTTGATGAAGAGGATCCTCGCAAGAATATTAAAGCACAAAGTTTTGACAAGCCGTGGGAGTCTGTGTCCTGTCGCCCCTCGGTGATGGATATTCAGGAGTGAACACGGCCAGACCAATACTCAGAGACACGATGAAGATATTGATCGCGTAGTACCGACCTGCGGGAGAAAAACCCAGAATAGATATATTTGATGGGGACATAACATTGTTGGTTTCTTGGTTTCAAAACATCACTTCAAGAATGAAAATTCAGAATCTTCATATACTTCTATTTATTCCTGTAGATTACAGTCGAGTTCATTGTCTTAGTACAAGTAGATTCTATTAGATTGACTATTCTATCAGACCAATGCTCAGTGACACAATGAAGATATTGAACGCGTAGTACCAATCTGCGGGAGAAACCCCCAGATTAAAGATTACGTCTTTAAGTGGCAGTTTTAAAAGTTGGAGAGTCGGATAAGGACAAACTTTATGGATGAATAAAGACGTTTTGCATCCATAACACATTTGTCCTTATCTGATTAAAGATATTTGGTGGGGAGAAAAATATATACCAGTATGATTCCTAGAAGAAATGGTACAGCTTTGTGTTGATTAATGATTGTTTTATGTTGTACATCCGTCTCGATTTCGCGACTTGTGTCATAATCAGTGAAACAGTACATAAAGTATAAATGTAGCATCTATATAGTATGAATACAGTATACATGAAGCATGAATAAAGCACGAATGCAGAATAGACATAGTGTAAATGTAGCATATATATTGTATAAATACAGTATAGATGTAGTGTAAATGTAGCATATATATTGTATAAATGCAGCATAGATGTAGTGAAAATGTAGCACATATATATTGTAAAATGCAGTATAGATGTACTGTAAATGTAGCACATATATAGTGTAAATGCAGTATGGATGTAGTGAAAATATAGAATATATATAGTATAAATGCAGCATAGATGTAGTGAACATATAGCACATATATAGTGTATGTGCATTATAGATGTACTGTAAATGAAGCATATATATTGTATAAATGCAGCATGGATGTAGTGAAAATGTAGCACATATGTAGTGTAAACGCATAATAAAGATGTAGTGTAAATGTAGCATATATATCGTATAAATGCAGTATAGATGTAGTGTAAATGTAGCATATATATTGTAAAATGCAGTATAGATGTAGTGTAAATGTAGCATATATATTGTATAAATGCAGTATAGATGTAGTGAAAATGTAGCATATATATAGTATAAATGCAGTATATATGTAGTGTAAATGTAGCATATATATAGTATAAATGCAGTATAGATGTAGTGTAAATGTAGCATATATCATAGTATAAATGCAGCATAGATGTAAATGTGTATAAATGTATGCACATATATGTAGTGTATAAATGCAGTATAGATGTAGTGTAAATGTAGCATATATATTGTATAAATGCAGTATAGATGTAGTGTAAATGTAGCATATATATTGTAAAATGCAGTATAGATGTAGTGTAAAATGTAGCATATATATTGTATAAATGCAGTATAGATGTAGTGTAAATGTAACACATATATTGTATAAATGCAGTATAGATGTAGTGAAAATGTAGCACATATATAGTGTAAATGCATAATAGAAGTAATTGTAAACAGTATAGATGTAGTGAAGTGAAAATGTAGCATATATATAGTGTAAATGCAGTATGGATGTAGTGAAAATATAGCATATATATAGTATAAATGCAGCATAGATGTAGTGAAAATATAGCACATATATAGTGTATGTGCACTATAGATGTACTGTAAATGTAGCATATATATTGTAAAATGCAGTATAGATGAACTGTAAATGTAGCATATATATTGTAAAATGCAGTGTAGATGTAGTGTAAATGTAACACATATATTGTATAAATGCAGCATGGATGTAGTGAAAATGTAGCACATATATAGTGTAAATGCAATATAGATGTAGTGTAAATGGAGCATATATATAGTATAAATGCAGTATATATGTAGTGTAAATGTAGCATATATATCATAGTATGAATGCAGTATAGATGTAGTGTAAATGTAGCATATATATCGTATAAATGCAGTATAGATATAGTGTTAATGTAGCATATATTTAGTATAAATTCAGTATAGATGTAGTGTAAATGTAGCATATATATCATAGTATAAATGCAGTATAGATGTAGTGTAAATGTAGCATATATATCGTCTAAATGCAGTATAGATGTAGTGTAAATGGAGCATATATATATATAGTATAAATGCAGTATAGATATAGTGTTAATGTAGCATATATTTAGTATAAATTCAGTATAGATGTAGTGTAAATGTAGCATATATATCATAGTATAAATGCAGTATAGATGTAGTGTAAATGTAGCATATATATCGTATAAATGCAGTATAGATGTCGTGTAAATGTAGCATATATATAGTATAAATGCAGTATATATGTAGTGTAAATGTAGCACATATATAGTATAAGTGCAGTTTAGATGTAGTGTAACATGTAGCATATATATAGTGTAAATGCAGCATAGATATAGTATAAATGTGGTATAGATGTAGTGTAAATGTAGCATATATATGGTATAAATGCAGTATAGATGAAGTGTAAATAATAATAATAATAATAATAATAATAATAATAAGGGCCTGATGATGTACCTCTTCGTGGTGGGCCTAGATAGGGGAATTTTATTCCCTGAACTGAACGTACATCACCCAGTTAGGGCTGACCCCCCGAAGCTGGTTTTTCACTGGGTTACAAACAGCCAAGAAGAATTTTATCTTTCAACTCCGCAGCCCAGTCAGCCTTCCTCCGGTAGTGACACTAACCATACTGGAGATGGGACTTGCCCCAGGGGAAGGCACAGAACCCGACCAAGAATATCTTGGTCAAACCACCTTAAAACCACACTACTTGAGTGTGCGAGAGCGACAGGATTGCTTGCATCCCAAGTACACTGTCGTCAGGCTCCCCATTGTTCTCGGTGCCCTTGGTTTGGTACCTCCTGATCTCTTGGCGCAGATCAGGAGAGTGCCCGGGTTCTTCACCGGGAGCACAGCCCTTCTGACACTCTGGGTAATGCAGAAGGCTGCAGTGTTGGGGAGCCTTCATATTCTCCGGAAAGTTCTTGGTGGGTTCGACTAGGCAGCGTTTCCTGGGAGAAGTCCCATTCGCTGTCTGGGCTGCGTGTAGAGGGGGCAAGGGCCCTGAGCTGATGATGAGCCTTACCAGCCTGACTGTGCCAGGATCACCCGAACCCTCTCTGCTGCATACAATTTTTAATCTGTAAAACATAATAATAATAATAATAAGCCTCTTCGTGGTGGGCCTAGATAGGGGAATTTTATTCCCTGAACTGAACGTACATCACCCAGTTAGGGCTGACCCCCCGAAGCTGGTTTTTCACTGGGTTACAAACAGCCAAGAAGAATTTTATCTTTCAACTCCGCAGCCCAGTCAGCCTTCCTCCGGTAGTGACACTAACCATACTGGAGATGGGACTTGCCCCAGGGGAAGGCACAGAACCCGACCAAGAATATCTTGGTCAAACCACCTTAAAACCACACTACTTGAGTGTGCGAGAGCGACAGTGCTCCAGGATGCCCAGATTCAAGACAAACTTCGGGCCGAGTATAAATCTCGTTTAAAGAAAATCTGGAGCTCAGAGCTAAATGCTCGAAACAAGGTCAAAGCCACCAATACTTTTGCTGTGCCAGTCCTTTCCTATTCCTTTGGAGTAGTTGATTGGACGAAACAAGACATCCAGAGTCTTGACCGTCTAACCAGAAGGATCATGTCTGATAACAGAGCCCACCACCCTCGTTCCTCTCTTAACCGTTTATACATGCCAATCAATTCTGGAGGTCAGGGGGTTTGATTAATGTGGAAGCTCTTCATGATAGAATTTTATTGTGTACTTTTGCACATATTTATTTATCAGATGATCCTCTAGTGATGCATGTGAAGACTCATGATGAAAGCAAGGAATTCCACAGCTATTTTAAGCGTGCCAAGGTTGTTGGACAGAATCTGAAATTTGAGGAGGTTGACTTTGTTGATGGCAATGTACTGCTGGACGGTACAGCGATGGGAGTAAACCAGGTGAAGTCCTTTACCAAGTCTGCCCAGAGTCGGTCTTTGTGGGAGAAGCTTTCTGAGAAGCCATTGCATCGTGTGTACATGCAGTGTGTTGAACAGAATAGCAATCCACCGACTCCTTCGCCTGGATGAAGTCGGCTGGTCTTAAATGTGAAACTGAGGGCTTCCTTTTGCTGCTCAGGACCAGTCACTTCCCACTCGTAATCGCCTAAATGTGATTCTTAAAGAGAATATTAACATGAAATGTCGACTTTGCAATGAATTTACAGAGACTGTCCAACACCTTGTCAGTGGATGCCCTTTCTTGGCACAAACAGCATATCTTAAACGACATGATGGCATGGCTCGTTGCTTTACTACCGTCTCCGACATGCCTGTGGCTTTGACTCCGAGGTCCATCCATGGTACGACCCTGAACATGTCCAGGGCGTCATGGAAAATGATGCTTTCAAACTTCTGTGGAATAGGCCCATATACAGCCTCAGAAGAATTCCAGCTAACAAACCTGATCTTGTCCTTTTGATAAAGCCAATGAATTTATTTATATCATTGAATTTTCTGTCCTTTTGACACCAATGTGATTGGCAAGATTAAGGAAAAGCATGATAAATATGCGGACCTCGCCTTTGAAATGTCTCGCTTGCATCCCAAGTACACTGTCGTCAGGCTCCCCATTGTTCTCGGTGCCCTTGGTTTTGGTACCTCCTGATCTCTTGGCGCAGATCAGGGAGAGTGCCGGAGTTCTCCACCGGGAGTACAGCCCTTCTGACACTCTGGGTAATGCAGAAGGCTGCAGTGTTGGGGAGCCTTCATATTCTCCGGAAAGTTCTTGGTGGGTTCGACTAGGCAGCGTTTCCTGGGAGAAGTCCCATTCGCTGTCTGGGCTGTGTGTAGAGGGGGCAAGGGCCCTGAGCTGATGATGAGCCTTACCAGCCTGACTGTGCCAGGATCACCCGAACCCTCTCTGCTGCATACAATTTTTAATCTGTAAAACATAATAATAATAATGGCACTTATATTGCGCTATATCCACGCCATGAAGGTATGCTCAAAGCGCATTGCCTCAAACGATGGAAACAGAGGAGTGTATGTGCAGCCTTAAAAGAGTGTAAATATAGTGTAAACGTAGCGTATATGTGGCATAAGTGTAATGTAGTGTATATTTGTAATGCTGTGTATGCTACAAATGTAGTAATAGCACCTAAATAATGGCGCCTTGACAGTAGTTGGTGTATTAGCAAAAGGAACTATATTGTAAACTGCGGGATCGTCGATCGTCAACTCGTCTCAAAATATGCAGACGTATGAACCAGTGTGTTACTCAGAAATGACGAGCGAATTCACTTTCGTATCTGCTGTTCTCCTAATAATAACGAAATCTACCAAGTGGCAAAAAGCTTTTCTGTTGATGAATTTGATTGGGGCTGTCTCCCATAGGTATGATTCATTTGAGATGGGCACGACATATGAAAACATCATCATTATAAATGATGTACAACGCTTCACTTCGTGAAAAGTCGTTTATACTCAGAGGGAAAGCTTGTTGTGAAATGGAATTGTTTCGCTAGTAATCTTGTGAATGAGTTTTGGGTTTTACAAAGAGAAAGCAGTTGTTCGAATTTCACATTTGCGAGAGGCATGACATTTGAAGAAGGTGGCCAGCAATGTTCACTTTAATAGGCCAGACGTTTATCATTTCAATTGAATGCAGACTTTAGAAGTGCAGAAGTCAGAAAATCAATTATATTCATCGTTTTGGACGGGGGAAATGACAGATGGAATGCTATTGGTACGCTTCAGTCTGGTACCTCGCAGTGTGACGTTGCTTGATTCAACGCCCATAGAAACACCATTCTTATTTATGATGACGGTTTTAGCAAAATAATCAAGTTATAGCCCGCTCCAGTGGTGGCCAGCCAGACGTAACGACCCCACGTCGAACCCCATGGGTTCGAACCACGCACCTCCACCATAGGTTCAGCACTCACTTCACTCACTCACTCACAATATTTCTAAAAACCAAAACTTACCAATTAGAGGAATCGCAAGTGACGTCGGTGGTAGAAATGTCGAAATAACCAGCAACAACGCTATCATTGCCAGAAGAGAAGTGATTCCAATAGATATTTTCTCCCCAGATTCGTTCGGCACCAGGAGTCCCAGCAGAGCCACCAACGTGATGATGAGGCAGGGCATCATGAGATACATCAGGAAGTACATTGGGCGCCGTCTCAGGGACATTGTGTACGTCAATACAATGTAGGGCTCCAGGCAACATGCGAAATACTTGGCCTGTCGGTCCTTTGTAAATGAGATCAGTTCCCATTCCGCATTGGAAATGTATTCAGATAAGGATTCTTCCCCTCGTTCACCATTTGAGATATTGAGTTGATTGGCATTGTATGTCCAAGACTCGAACGTCATCTTACACTGTTGTTGATCCATGGGAAAGGATGCGACGTTGATGATACACGACGTCTTCGAGATGACCTGGTACGGCACGCTAACGTTTCCACTTGACACCAGGTCCATGTTTACAAGACATTTCCAATTTTGGAAAGATGATGTTTCCAAAGATTTACAATTTTGGAAATGTCCACAAGGGAGATAACTGGTGGGTGATGGTACATCATTGTTATTTGCACGCCCGGGACCTAATCCTTGTTGATTGATAGTGAGTCAAGGCAAGTAATACTCACCAATTAACAAGGCCTACTGCCTTGTTAATTAACAAGTTTTTATGCCTCTTAAAGAAGCCTCTGGAAGTAAGTTAAATCTTTGATGGGCATTAAGAAGTGGAATGCATTACTGTGACCTGATTTTCACCTGATGAAGGAGCAAGCATATGCTCCGGAACTTCGTGTTATTCACAATAAAGAAGTTGACATCCATAAATCTTGCTTTTCTTATTAAAAAGGTAAGTTATTAAAATCTGCTGAGCTGTAGGCTTGTTAATCATGTCGCGGTGTGATTATCGCTCTAACACACCTGAGAGATTGGTCAACAGTGTGGTATGCATAGGCGGTGAAACTTGTATTGTATTACATTGGGTTGGTTGCATATTGTTTTGTGTTATGCTGTCAGTTTGTATGTATGTGTGAATGAGGAACTTCACATATTATGACATTGAAAACAGACTAAACTTAACATTTATTCCATGGTCAATATCGCAATGTTAGTGATATGGTAGTATACGAAAGTTTGTTTCACAGTTTTGATAATACCTTCTTTTATGCAGATAAAATTATTAAAAAATGAACGAATAATGCCATGCTTCTCTCAGAGTAAGGGAAGATAATTTATATACTGATTCTGATCAAATTAGATATTTCTTTATCGTCCGAACAGAATTCACAGAATGTTTTTTGTGGGTGTGGGTGTGTGTGCATGCACGCGTGTATAACATCTAAGTTGATAGGTATTAAAATCAGGTCGTTTGTAACCATAATGACTATATTGGTTGGAACACTTGAGGAACAAAAATAATTTCACTCTTCAAAAGGAACTGGAACAGTAACATTTTTCATGTTTTCATATGAGCTTCAAAACATTGAATGAAATAAATGCTGTATGATGAAATGGATCAGAGAACATTATCATGGCATAAATGACGTGTGAATGACACATGTAATGGTCAAAAATATATAATCACTATGTTAGTTAACTCATGACCAGACACGTCAAACTGGTACCGATAGATGTATATCTAATACGTAAAAATTCAGTATTTCTTAGTACCTGAAATAGAAAACACGAATTTGGAATGAGATGTTTTAATCTGAGATCAATCTGTTAGGTAGCAGTTTACTAAAGTAGAACTTAAATCAACTTCAAAAGATTGGTCATTCGCAAAGTGAAGCAGATCTCACTTATACTGCAGTAAACAGTATGGGGATACACAACAACGAAACATACCACTTACGTGATAACAACTCCCCGTTTATTGCATAGAGCGGCATTTCGATGTACAACGTTCAGGATAAACAAGCTGATTGAATGTTGATGGATTCCATCACTTGGAGAATGGAGTGGATTTTGACTGGTTGATCTTACTCTCCTGTTGGCCCAAACGACGTGCTACTTGTTGAATTACCTGTTGTTAATTTGCTGCTTGTCACTATGCATATAAACTTCTATTCACCTGGTTGTAGTAACTTTTATCTTGATAACGGCGTGAGAATATACATGGAAACTCCCCTCTATCGACCTTTGATCCAAACGGATGAGTTAACAGAAATGTTGATGCCCGTCTGTTAGCAAATTAACATTGGATTATAGAGACAACGATACTTAGCATATATACATTGAAATATAAAACACATAAAAAAAACATAGAAGGCGTAGTAAGCCACGAGTGGTAACGGGAGACTATATGGACATATTTATAAGTACGTTATAAATATATTAAAGATGAGAAAGAAGAGACGCTGAATCAGCAAACTGTCTAACAGTTAACATTCCATTTTGAAACTGGTGCACCAACGAGGTGTAGGAATAAACTTCTGTTCAAGTTGAGCATTAGCCATTTCGAAGTCGAATGTACACTTTCATGCTTCTTCTCATTATATATCCCCATGTAATCAGAGGGGAATTGATCCAGAGCGATTAATGTTTCTCGACAACAGTCTAATTTCCAAACCAAACTGCAAGCTTGTCGGTATCTGCTCCCTCGACCGTGACGGACACAGGGACTGGGCTTCTGGCCACCTTGACAAAATTTCTTCAACCCAAACAGCGGGACATTAGGAAGGGTGGATGCTCATCAGATGCTGTTATTTGAGAATACCCCTGGTAGTTCCTGTCTGATTGCAATAAAGTATCCCAGCAGTGTATGTTTTTCGGATTTTCTAATGCATAGATGGCATAGTGACTGATGCAAGTTGATCTTATTTCTGTGTTTTTTTTACCTCGATATTTAATCATGCCATGTAAACATATGATGTCTATTACATATTATATTTATGACAAATGAAAATTTACTTAGGTATATGCAATTTTAACTTCAGTACACATCAAATGCTTATATGTATTTCTTATGCAACAATGAAGTTCCGTTCGTATCCTCCAAACAGTGTCGGCCCATAAGTTTTTTCAGGCAATTAACATTGCATGCAATTCAGCAAGTACTACGCCCTTTGCTGTAACCAGTGTTTGGTGGTATAAACCTACACATGTTATTTGTCATCATTCACTTGATGGTCAGTTAATGAATTTATAACAGGTATGATGGTAATACCACTCAGATTACCCGACAAAGGTTCCCATTTCGCATTTCGCATTTCTTGTGTCTGGAGTAAATACTCAGCATTATGAGTTAAGGTCTGATGTGACAAATGTATTACATGTTATGTAATATGCGCATGGAAGTGCAGCAAGACGAATTATCAGCTGAGATACATTCACTAATTTTCCCCAGCGCTTTTGGGAAAAGTGGTTTCAACAGCTGGGCTGCGCTCATCAACATTTCTGTTAACTCATCCGTTTGGATCAAAGGTCGATAGAGGGGAGTTTCCATGTATACTTTCACGCCGTTATCAAGATAAAAGTAAATACAACCAGGTGAATAGAAGTATATATGCATAGTGACAAGCAGCAAATTAACAACAGGCCTAGGTGATTCAACAAGTAGCACGTCGTTGGGGCCAACAGGAGAGTAAGATCAACAAGTCAAAATCCACTCCATTCTCCAAGTGATGGAATCCATCAACATTCAATCAGCTTGTTTATCCTGAACGTTGTACATCGAAATGCCGCTCTATGCAATAAACAGGGCGTTGTTATCACGTAAGTGGTATGTTTCGTTGTGTATCCCCATACTGTTTACTGCAGTATAAGTGAGATCTGCTTCACTTTGCGAATGACCAATCTTTTGAAGTTGATTTAAGTTCTACTTTAGTAAACTGCTACCTAACTGATTGATCTCAGATTAAAACATCTCATTCCAAATTCGTGTTTTCTATTTCAAGTACTAAGAAATACTGAATTTTTACGTATTAGATATACATCTATCGGTACCAGTTTGACGTGTCTGGTCATGAGCTAACTAACATAGTGATTATATATTTTTTGACCATTACATGTGTCATTCATACGTCATTTATGCCATGATAATGTTCTCTGATCCATTTCATCATACAGCATTTATTTCATTCAATGTTTTGAAGCTCATATGAAAACATGAAAAATGTTACTGTTCCAGTTCCTTTTGAAGAGTAAAATTATTTTTGTTCCTCAAGTGTTCCAACCAATATAGTCATTATGGTTACAAACGACCTGATTTTAATACCTATCAAGTTACATGTTATACACGCGTGCATGCACACACACCCACACCCACACAAAACATTCTGTGAATTCTGTTCGGACGATAAAGAAATATCTAATTTGATCAAAATCAGTATATAAATTATCTTCCCTTACTCTGAGAGAAGCATGGCATTATTCGTTCATTTTTTAATAATTTTATCTGCATAAAAGAAGGTATTATCAAAACTGTGAAACAAACTTTCGTATACTACCATATCACTAACATTGCGATATTGACCATGGAATAAATGTTAAGTTTAGTCTGTTTTCAATGTCATAATATGTGAGGTTCCTCATTCACACATACATACAAACTGACAGCATAACACAAAACAATATGCAACCAACCCAATGTAATACAATACAAGTTTCACCGCCTGTGCATACCACACTGTTGACGAATCTCAGGTGTGTTAGAGTGATAATCACACCGCGACATGATTAACAAGCCTACAGCTCAGCAGATTTTAATAACTTACCTTTTAATAAGAAAAGCATGATTTATGGATGTCAACTTCTTTATTGTGAATAACACGAAGTTTCGGAGCATATGCTTGCTCCTTCATCAGGTGAAAATCAGGTCACAGTAATGCATTCCCTTTGGTTTGTTTATCCCTACAAAATTGGAAATGGCGGTAACAATCTGTTTTTTATTTATATGGTATAAAAGTCTCGCAAATGCAATTATATGACCAATAAACATTCTCAAAACTATTAATGTATAATAATATAAAGGAAATACAAATGTTATTAGTAGTTTTGACTACATCACGAAAATCGTATCGGGAGAACCGGTTCGCGAAAGGTCAACCGCAATATATCTTATAGTGAAATTCGAATTGCAATATACCGGTTAACCGGTATTATCGCCACCCCTACTGATAGCATTGCCCGTCCAACCTCCAACCAACACAAACACGGAGTCACACAGCCACACACATAGACGTACAAAAAAGAAACATTTTTTAAGGATTCAAATGCACACCCAAGATGAACTATTTCTATAATTGGTATGAGGAGGTACTCACGAGTTTTTTATTCTCAGGTCGGGCGTCCAAATGGCGTCAGCTGGGACCCGGATGTCTGTCACGTTCTCGTATTTTTCTGGTTGCCAAGCTAACGATGCATCCTTCCATGTCTAGAAAAAGATGCATGGC